TCTTAAAAATAATGGTCTGCCCAGTGCTCCTGTGCTCCATCCAATGGAAAGGGGGTGGGAAAGTATACAGGAAACTCTGCACTGGTTAACCCTTGGAAGTCACAACAGAGGCAGGGGGGAACAGCTGCAGGCTCTGTGGAGCAATGCTCTTCAAGCCTCGGGAAAGCAGAACACTATCTTTACCCACACACCCTGTGTCCTCACTGCAGACAACATTCCAACCAGCCTAAGAACTCTCGCTCAAGCAGGAAGAGGCCAATATTTACAGTGAGCTGGGGTTTCCAGTTCTTTGGGCACTGGATGCAGACAGCAACCCTCCAACTTGACCTCCAGCAGTCTCCGATAGGGGAAACACCCCCACCCAGAAGGAGGGGACCCCGAGTGCTCAGGATTTCAAAGGTCCCTCGTGCGTGCATACGGGTTGGAGCTCCTCAGGAAGGTGCTTCCATCCCTTTTGCCTCTGGAGCAGGGAAATCATGCAGCTAGTAATACACACCCTGGGAGTGCTGAGTGTGAGGGTCGTATGACCTTCCTTCCCACGCAGCCCCGGCCCAGCAGCCTCACTGGCCCTGCTTTGTGATGTGCTCAGTCCCCTCCAGAGTTTGCATCCCAGGGCAGGAATTCCCTGTGGTGTGCTTCTCCAGGCTCCTGCTCCTACAGCTCTCCTGGCTGGCTGGCTTCGTTGTAAGTTTGTGTAAGGGTCCTCTCTATGTGTCTGCGAGTGCCCTGGACTGCTGTGTTGATCGTCTTTGCATTGCTAACATGGCTGGCATAATATTGGTACCATAATGTGTCACCTAATAGAGAGTTCAAAATGAAAGCCCATCCTCTCTCCTCGGCTGCCCAGCAAGAGGAACCCAAGCCATAAAGGACCAAAAGAAAACAGCTGCCAGCTTCCACCTCCATTCCTAGCTAGCCTTCAAAACTATGGTGAAGTAATCATATTTCATTTTGTTTGTTTAGTATTTTCTGGACAAACAAGAGTTTACTGTTGGACAGATGCTCTTAGAAATGCTCTTTAGGCAAAAGAGCAATGGTAGAGGCTGAAGCGGCAGGAGGGTATAAAAGGCAATATAAAATATCGGCATGCAAGGAAAGCTACATAAATCTTAAACTTTAAAGACAATAATCAATGGGAGAAAAATGAGGGAAGAAGTGAGTACAGTTCAAGAAGCACTGTACTCATTACCTGACTTATGGAACTGTAACCTCTCTGTTTATCAACTTTACCAAAAAAAAAAAAAAAATAATGATCATGCCTCTGGTGGGAATCAAATTTACAGCATTAAAGCCCATGGCAATGGCAATGGGCAGTACTGTGGTACACACACGTGATTCCACCACTCAGGAGGCTGAGACAAGATCATGGCTCAAGCAGTAGAACATCTGCCTACCAACCACAAAACCCTGAGGGCAAAGTCCAATATAGCCAAATAGAATCCATCACAACAACAAAAGTAAAACATAAAAAAAATATATTCTTCTACCAGGCGCCCCTGGCACATGCCTATCACCCTAGCCATACCCAAAAGATTAGGATTGTGATTGGAGACTATGGCAACCAACTAGAAGGGGGAAAAAAGGTGTGAATGGTAACGGGCACCTGTCACTCCCACTGTGTGGGAAGTGTAACGGGAAGAGCTACTGTCCAGGCTGAGCCAGGCAAAAGCACAGACACTACTGCACAAATAGAAAGCAAGTGATAATACGGGTGATTCAAACGCAACTATACAGGCGAGCATGCTAAAGACTGCCAGCACATTGAAGTTCTCTAGTCAGGGGCAGAAGCTGTCTGAGCAAGTTTGAGGAAAACCTTACCTATTCGCACATGAGGGATAACCTTCAAAGACACCAAAAAATAAAAATAAAATGATACAGAGGTAATGCCCAGTTTGGGATGCTGTGTCAGTTGTTTTGGGGATTTTTTAAAAAACAGCTTTAGGAAAACATCCCACTATCTGCCATGCATTATAACTTAAATATGGTTAACTTGGAAGTTGCTGCCTCTATCCAATGCTTATGCCTGGAAGCAAAGGTATGATTCCAGAAGCTGGGTTCCGTTTAAATATTCACCTTGTAAAAAGAAATGCCTGAAAAGTGCCCCTCAATTCCCCGAAACAGCCAGCCATTATCAACGGCACATGGCCACCGTGCAACTCATGTCCCAGCTGCTCTGAACAGAAGCAACTGAAAGCCGCACCATAGGGCTAAGCACTCAAAAGAGAAAGGAAGAAAATCGCATCATTTTTGCACACTGAGTCCATTAAGCCAGAGGCAAAGCATCAGAATGCTGGCTGCTCTAAACTATGGAATGATGGGGAAAATAGTTCTCAATTATGCCCCCATGCTTTCTGATCCTCTTGTTTGACTTGCCCAATCTCAGAGACAAACCATGGACACACACAGTTCCATACCATGCAGTTAATAAGAACTGGCAGGCAGAAGTCTGGGCGTGAAATGAAGAGTCAGAATTAGATTAAGAATGTTGTTAGATGCTGGTACATACTATTAACACACGGTGAAAGCACCCATCATTAACACACAGGCCACAGGGAACCAAACAGAAAGCTACAGGATCCACACCACTGTTCTCAAAACATAGCTAATAAAAACCATAGCTGCCATTACGGTCTTTCTGTATTACAGAGGAGAAAGGAGGAGGAGCAAGCGCGTGCACGAGCGTGGTAACTGGAAAGGTGCTTTCTTTTCAGGTTCATTCTTATTTGTTTCTTATGATTTTCATAGGGTGAATTATTCTGCTTAGTATGCAGTCTCCTCTCCCAGAGGACTTCTGCCATGGACTTGAGTTAACCAAACCCTCATGTTGCATCAAACACATCATCTTTTTTACAGGCAATCATTAAGGAGTTGCGGTGATTTATGCTTAAGTATCTAATTCTACATCAATTCGGTTACAGCCATTTGTCTGGTTCTTCCCTTAAAATTACAACTTCAAGAAAGCACAGTAATGCTGTGTCTCTGGACTCCCTTTATGTAAATTGCAGAACATATTTCAAGTTCAGCTTTAGTTGTGTATCACATTTATTGAAATCCCTTCTCAGAAAATTCTCTCTCTCACACACACACATACACACACACACGTAATTGGTATGTGTGCCTTTTCATGCTTATAGTCTATCAGTAAACATTTTCCCTGAAATCATACATTTTAAAGATGTTAAAAATATACCAAGACCATGGTACAACCCCTGCTTTCACTATATATGATGTTGGTATATGTGGAGGGGAAGGGAAAAAACAAATTGTTAAAACAGGGATACAGGAGGACCCATTGCAACAATGAGATGTACAAGTCATTATGTCGAAAAACGAACTTTACAACTTTGGTGGGGGAGACGGGGCGGGGGGGGGGAAGGGGGAAGGATAGGAAGGGATGGGAAGGGGAAACAAAGCAGGAGGCTACAATGCTTGATAAGGAATGTGCTCATTAGGGCTGGGAAGGTGGCTCAGTGGTAGAGCGCTTGCCTTGCATGCAAGAGGCAGGTTCGACTCCTCAGCACCACATAAGCAAAAAGAAAAAAGCCAGAAGTGGCGCTGTGGCTCAAGGGGTAGAGCGCTAGCCTTGAGCTGAAGAGCTGAGGGACAGTGCCCAGGCTTAGAGGTCAGGCCCCACGACCAGACCCCCGCCCCCCCAAAAAAAGAAATGTGCTCATTATCTTACCCATGTAATTGTAACCCCTCTGGTACAGTATTTTCACAATTAAAAAAAAAATATATATATATATATATATATACACACACACCAAGAACTTTAAAAGACCACCTTTGAAGTTAACTAGCTCCCATAAATTTTTATCCACATAATTGTATGTGAGTAATGATGAATGTTTACTGTTAGGTTCTGTTAGTATAAACAGTTACAGGTATTTGACTTCTTATATATTGAGTCCCTTGACATACAAATTTTGGTGTAGAATGATAGTGAACTGAGTTGATATGGTCAAAAAAACAAAACAACTCCACCTACTTCTTTTAAGGAGTAACAGAAGACAATGAGTTTTTGAATCTCAAGTGGGTTTTATAAAGTTCTAATGGCAATTTTTTTTTAAATTTTGGGAAACATCCCAAAATCTGAAATTCAAAGTCTGTAGAAACTATGATCCAATACCCAATTCTGTACTTAATTCATGGCCTTGCAAGGAAGTATACTGTAGTTACACAGCAGCTCAGTAACAGGAGTTACATAATGATCACAAATACCATTTGTAGAAGACATTCTGTACACTGCATTAACAATAAGCTTACAAATATGGTAACAGAGTCAATGGGGGTCGGTGTGAAGTAACCTTTGACGTCACTCAGCGAGCAAGCACTAGAGACGGCTCAGGTGCAGACTGTCTGTGGCCCAGAGTCAGGGCTCGCGAATGCATGGGACTCACACTCCTGGTTGAACTGTGAAGGAGGCGGCCCAGGCCTGTTAGCACCAGATGTGAGTATCACCTGTTCCCCTGCAGTAGAGGAGGGGGGTGAGAGGGAACCCCCCAAACTCAGCCACACAACACTGAGCATTCCCTGGAGAAGGAAGAGAGGGAGGAGAGGACTTCCTTCTTGGCTTTGTTGAGTGTGCGGTGAGGAGGAGCACACACGTGGGATAATAAGCAGATGAGGCTGCACTGCCTGACGCTGGAGGCTACACCAAAGACCATGATGATGTTCAACTCTGCACATCACATCACGTGGAGAGCTTCCAAATGCAAGGCCCTTCGTTCAAATCCCAACACTGCCAAAAAACAAAACCCCAATGACTCCTAGTTCTCCACCTAGAGATTCTAATTTGACTGAGGGGCAGTGAGGCCCAAGCATCCAAACTGTTTAAAAGTTCCCGTATGGTTGTCATGGTTCTATGGTTCGAGACCCCCTACCCTGGAAGGTTGGAGTGTGCCCTCAAACACCTGCTACCACAGCTAGTGTTCCTCGCGACCCACACAGCGGGTGAACTGCGAAGCATCCAAGACAGAGCGGCGATGACGAGGCGTTACCTGGGTGGTGTCTTCCATGAGCCCTCGGATCTTCTCCACGACGTCGTTGCGCCGGTGCTGACGTAGGGCGCTGATGAGCTGGGCGAGGCTGGCCTCGGGGCCCCGGATGGTCCAGTGCTGCAGGGCCGCGTAGGCCCGCTCGTGGTCCGCGGTGTAGCCATTGGAGAAAGCGGCCACCTCCCTCTCGCTGGCATTGCAAAGAAACTGATAGATATCCTTCCACTGGCTTCCCACCTGGGCTGCCACCAGCTTCAGGATGTCAATACCTACGCCAGAGACAAAACAAAACCAACTGAGAGGAGGAGGAGGAGGCTTTCCTGTCTCTCCATCAAAGGGACAGAATCGCTTTCTATCACCAAGTGCTTCATGGGCAGACACGGTGCATCCTGGGACCCTTGCTTCCTGGGCTGGGGGCGTGGCTCAGTAGTTAGAATGTTTGCCTGATAAGCAAGAGTCCTGGATTCCATCCAGATACCACAAAAATACTAGATTAAAAAAAAAATCACTTCCTGAATGTGAAACCAAAGAATTATGCTGAAAATAAAACAGATCACTTCCCAAAAGATGTCTTGAGTGTAAAGTCAATGAAGGTTATTGGGATAATTTCTTTGTTACTACTAAAGTAACCAACAAAGTAGCAGCAGCTTCATGGATATAGAGAAACAACAGCAGTGGACCATACCCAGCTTGGGCTGGTGGAATGTGCAGATTCTGAGAATGCTGTCTGTCCGTATGTCAGCTGACTACTGTACCAGCTACTCCTCCCCAACCGACGCACTCCTTAAGAATGTCCACCTTCTGTACCCTTATCTATGCTCCACAAGCAACTTTCTTGGCTACTGTACAGTTTTCTAAGTTGACTTGCAGAGACATAATGAAGACAGAAGTCACAATGACAGCACAGTAGTAAGTAGATGTTGTCTTCTGGGTATTACGTAAAGGCATTAGCTCATTGAACATTTTTAGAAGGCATTAATATTCCAACTGCACAGGAAGAAGAGGAGGAGCTAACCTACTGGGGCTCAATGTCACAAAGATGGGTAGATTAGGTACTGAATCTACCGCATCAGGTTGGTAATTCGATTCAAACTCCCCAAAGTGCAAACCACTACCAAATGTGTTAATACACGCTACAGTCCAAGAGAGAGAACACACCTTTGAACAAATGACCTAAGCTGGTTATCTGCCCTCCTCAATAATTAACATCTGTTGGTCCTCTTTAATCCACAGGATTCAATCCAAGACTCCCCCAGCGGGGATGTAAAACAACCCAACTATAATTTTACGCCTTTCCCATCCTAAGCAGTCACTTGGCACACACCATGGCTGTCCTGTTCACACGTAAGGGTATGATGGTAAAACTAGCATGAACTCATTTTGTTCCTTGTGCTTTCATACCCAGAGGGTTAATTCTTGCTGGAAACAGGAGCCAACTCAGCATATGACTTTTCATTTGTTATTGAGAACTTTTGCCTTTTATGACTTCTCTTTTGCATGGTGTGAATTGTTGGCATTACCACTCTTAATGCTGCGATCATCACTAAGTAAAATGAGGATTATCTAGACACAAGCACTGTGCCCCATTGATAAGCAGGGCAGGTATGAGCTGCACCCAACGGATTGACAACCCAAGGGCATTCCAGTCAGGGGAGGGTAGGAGAGGACAGCAGACTTCACCCGGACTCTTTATGATGCTGCAAATTTCCTTTCATATGTTTAGACTTTGCCACCAGTAACCAAAAACATGAAAAGAAAAACTATGGTCAAGTGAGGGACTGACTGCTTAGTGTATTCTTGTTCTGACTTGTTATTCACCTGTGTGTGGGTGTGTGTGTGTGTGTGTGTGTGTGTGTGTGTGTGTGTGTGTGTGTGTGTGTGTGTGTGTGTGTGTGTGTGTGTGTGTGTGTGTGTGTGTGTGTGTGTGTGTGTGTGTGTGATCTATGTGCATATGCCTGTGGTCCTCAAATCCAAGGAACATAGGGTACAATGCCAAAATCTCATCTCAGGATCCACAAAGTCAGATAAACCCCTGGCATGAACTTCTCTCTTAAGTAGTGCTCTTTGGTGGCTATGGCTTTGTTGCTTCCCTCTGCGACTACAAGTTGACTTTGCCTGAATTAATACACAGTGCAGATGCAAGTAGTATGAAGAGCTGTGGTATTTGAAATCAGTGGTGAATCACAATGTCATGTCTTTGAATGAGGCCACATTCATATTACCTGATATAGGATTATTAACAATGTCTTTTTAAAAAATGAGCCTGGTGCTGGTGGCTCACATCTGTAATCCTAGCTATTCAGGAGACTGAGCTCTGAAAATCCCAGTGTGAAGCCATCCTGGGCAGACAACTCCAAGAGACTCATCTCTACTAACCACCAAAAAGCCAGAAGTGGAACTGACTCAAAGTGTAGAGTGCCAGCCGTGAGCAAAGAAACTCAGGGAGGGTGCCCTAACCCTGAGGTCAAAGCCCAGTACTGGGACACACATACTTAAAATAAATAGGGTCCCGTTCCCATGTGAGATTTAGGGAAGAGAAGAAACAAGGTGAATAAGGAAGAGCCTGTTTAGTTTTGGTTCATTTTGCAATTCAGTTGTTGAGGAAAATATTTATAAAATGAATTTCTGCCTAAGAAAACAAGAACAATTAATTACACATGCATGTTTTTCTGAACATGGATGAGCTGGGGGTCCCTCTGCCTAAGTCCTTACTTTGCCATGGCAATTCTGCTGAGGCAGATGCTTATATTCGCATCCTACATCAATGACCTGAAAATTGTTTGCAAACATCTAAGCTCCGAGAAGGCTCCTTTCTCACCAACAGTAAAAGGAGACTGCTATAAGAAAATAGTCATGCACCAAGCCGACGCATCACCGTACCTCTTACACTGTCTGCCCAGGTGGTGTGAGGAAAACCTGAGCCAGCAGACATTAAATGTTCGTAGTGGTGTTTTGTCGGAGCAGAACTTTTGATTTCAAGCAAAACAGACTCAAAAAAAACCCCCAAAACAAACAAAAACAACAACAAAAACCCCAAACCCAAGTCCTATTTAAAACCCACGTGTAACTTTAAGAAACAAGCTAGCTCTTTCTAGAGGTTAATGTGGTAACTCTTCCACACACCCTGGGTCTTAATTTAGGTCAATTTGACTAAGGCCCACAGTGTCTTACATGAAAACATGGGTTTTTTCTTCTAAGCAGAATCACCGCTTACATCTCTGTGAAGCCCATGACAGGGTGGCTTTGGGCAAACCACTAACTGTCATGTTCATTTCCTCACCCGACAATGAGGACACTCACTGCGGTCCCTGGGGATGGGCCGATTAACATTCTCTACAGCTAATTTATTTTTGGAAGCACACTCATGAGTATGAATGTTCCCTATATACTGAGCGCTAAAACCTAAGGCTCGGTGCACATTAGATGCAAGCACACAGCCTTTAAAGTGTAATTACAGATTGTTTTTAAGCCTCAGAAAAGCCCCTTCTCCCAAAATCTAGTCTGTTTTAAGCCACAAAATAAAGAAGGAGGGAGGGAAGGAAGAAACAGGCTGATGAAGGGAGGGAGAGATACAGGGAGGGAGGGAGGAGTCAGGCAGGCAGGCAGGCAGGCCTACAATCAAAAATGAACACACTGATTTCTGTTCTAGAAGCCAAGTTTAAGCCTTCAGGCTGCAGACTGGCTCCATCCCGGCCTCTCACTCATGCAAAGCCCCGCTATGAAGCACGGAGTTAACCCCCCGAACCGGCCCTGCTCAGCAGCGCTCTTCACCGCCCTCTGGGAGGAAGTAGGAAGGCAAAAGCACACAGAGGGGTTTCAGAGAGATTTGCTGAGCTGGAAGATGAGAAAAAAAGAAGGTATTTTTCAAATTATTCTGCTGTGTGCCTTGCTATTTCTTTTTAAATTCCATGTATATTCCATGTACATCCATAACACACAGGCGCTTACTGGCACTCTGTGTCCACGGACTCACACCTATGGATCCAAACAACTGCAGATCAAGATGTATGGGATGTTATTGGCAACGGGGAGATGAATTTGCCATGTAAGGGCAGTGTGTGTGGGCTTACACCGAGTGCTCTGCTCTTTCACATGAGGGATGAGAGCACCCTGGGTGCCGGTACCCAGGAGGGCCCCTTGGGAACAGTCCCCTCAGACTCTGAGAGTGTACTCGATACATGGTTGTCATGAACAGGCGTGCTTCGTGAACATGAACTTGCAAGCGTTTTGTCTTGGTGACAGGAAATCTCATCTGGAGAGGTCAGGACCCAGTACATGGTCACCCAGCCAAGTAGCGAATGCCCTTCTTGTCACTAATTCTGGGAAGCACTGTCACTGGAACTATGCCGTCGAGCTGCATCATGATGCCCTCACTCCAAGCTGGCCAGGCTGAGTCATGTATTGCGGAGACAGATTTCTCTGAGGCTAGTAAATTCCTTTCTTTCTTAAAAAGGATGGAGCTTGAAACAAGATGAGCGTGCTTGAAACAAGCCAGCCTGCTTCTTCTTGTGATGGTGATGACAATGCGTACTCGTGGCTTTGAGCACTCAGTGGCATCTCTGGTGACCGCTCGGCCATGTTGTATATGGCCCAGGCAGCCCTCACCAGTCCCAATGAGAACGGCTCTGTTCTCACTGTAGGATTTGCAAAACCAGGCCCAGTAGGGCTGGGTGTGGTTCACCAACCCTTATGGCCACTGAGAGCAAATCCCACCGGATTGTGAAGGAGCATACACATTTTGAAAGTATGTTGTTAAAAACATTTTTTTAAACTGTCCCAAGAAACAGTGGAAATTCCCACTGATTATTCATTGATATCTAGCTGGGAAAAAAAAATTAAGTCAATGAAATAAAGACCACCAAGTCTCTGCTTGCCTCTGTTCCATCAAAGTTCATGTCTGGAGACAGTCGGCTAATCCAAACTGCTTAACTGAATAAAATGCCTCATCTCCTTTCTCTCAAAATAACAACACTCTTCCTGCACTGAAGGGCTGAGTGTCTGAAGGCGTCAGGCCCAAGGAAGCAGAAGCTGTAGCTGCCAGGAGCTGTCTGTGCTGAGCGGTCCTGGCTCAAAGGAAAGAAAGCATGAGAAGTCTAAGGATTAAGTCATGGGATGATCATAAAGTCGGCAGTCACAAGCTTTGGTCTCCAGCTCCAGCTCCATGGCTCGTTTAGCAGAGTGACCCTGCCAACCTCTAAGATTTCAGGGCCCACACAATAGAAATGGAAATACCATTTCTTCCCTGGTGGGCTGAACATGATTACGGGAT